TTACATTTATGTATATCTATGTATTTCTACATATATCTTCACATACACAAACACACACAGAGACATATATATATATATATATATATATATATGTATATCCATACATATATATGTATGTACATATATTTATATATACATATATGTGTGTATACGTACATTTTATTGTGTGCATACTTTGAATTATTACAATCTATGAATGTACTGTTGAAGTCAAAGAGCAGACACATACCTGATGAACTAGCGCCGTTGCCAATTGGACCGGAGGGAGTTTCTGATCCTTTGTGCATGAAACTGTCCTGTACACAAGCATGCCGCAGAGAAGGGTGTTGAATACACAAGCTAATGTAAACTAGAATATCCTTCGGTAATTCTAATACAATATATATTCATGATGAGACCACGATGTGGGCGAGCGTGTGTGCACTTCTTGCGCGTACAACATGTGAACTCATAGGTAGTATACCTTATTGCAATAGAATACGTAAACTTACCTGGTAGGACGGTGGTACTGGATCTTGGCGTCGCCTACCTTCTGTCGGGGAAGGTGCAGTCGGAGGGTAGTTGGTTGAATATCCAATCTCTGTTATACTCGAAGAGGAATCATTCCTGTCTTTGTCACTATCATTACCATGCTCATTGTACGTCATGTTGCTATTTCTTGAGCTGGAAGACTTGTGGTTGATATGATAGTATGTTATGAGTATAGGCAGGCTAACCGGGTCCATTTTTTTAAATGACGATGGCCACTCCAAGGACTGTTGAAGTAGCGTCAAGCGGCAAGGTCGGCTGTATATTCTCTCCCAGAGTTCTATTCGGATGTACCTGGGGGCTTTGCTGTGCTCAGGCTGACTTTACTGAGCGACTGTTCACTGTAATAAAGCAACGTTGATGACTCATCACAACAGTTGTTGTGATGAGTCATTGTTGTGAAGAGTCATTGATTTTGTGAAGTGTGATGCATGAGTCATCTCTATTCTCTGTGGACCACATTGAGTGAACATTTTACTCCCATGATGGCAAATATAATTTATTCTATAAGACTATTAACGCCCGAGCCCTACTACTATTCCTATAAGGCTATATGTATAAGTATTTACATACCGAGTGAAATTATTTTGAGTTTATGTTTAAAAAAAAATTACGTTTAATGAAATCACAGAACAGGAAATATATTTTAATAGTTCGGTACTCGGGCCAAAGTCGCCTTACGTGGGCCCATAAACATCGACCCTACCTTGCGAATGGACCGGATGCGGTTTTGGACAAGGGCTTGGGCGTTAATAATTTTACAGTGACGGGTGTTGTATAGACAAAGTCTTTTCGTCTAAATTTTTCTTTTAAAAATACGGCCGGTCGGCTGGTCGGCGCAACGTCGCCTCGGCAGTCGGCGACTCGGCGATCGTTGGGTCGGGTCGAAGCTCATTTTTAGTTCAAGCAAGTAGTGTCATTATACAAAGAGTATTTTGGTGGGCAATTCCCAGAGTTGTGCTGGTTGTGGGAGTTGGCCAGTATTTATTTAGTGGCAGTACTGAGTCCGTGTGTAGCCTTGTAGGAGAGGAGATACATACATATGTAGAGGAGAGAGAGAGGTATGCCGGAACGAGTTGTGCTAGTTTTTTTTTGGTTTTGTGTGCATACTTTGTTTTTTGAAATCTACAGGTATGTAAATAAATACAAGTACAATATAAAATAGCGCCGTATGTGTATTATTTTCCGGTCCGCGTCTGCATGTTTGCAGCTGTGGTTGCCGGGTATTCCTTATTGCTGGGTGATGTACATGGCACTGTAGTACTTTCTCGTGCATGGATTAAATGCGGATGATTGTAGCACTGGTAATCTCTAAGGAGATGACATACTTTAACATTATACAAGAATATTTCCAGGCCCGTCTATGAAATATACCTACAATTGATCCGTTCACAAGATCTTTAGTACCAAGCGAATGCGACGTGTACAACCACGACTTGGTTATGTATTTAGTTAATGTTTGTCAGTCACCAATCCCTTCGCAATAATGTACCGGTTATGGGTTCTTTTGATATGCAGTGGGACTATAAGACGATACCGTGTGACGAGTTCGGGTAGGTTGGAAACGAACGACTGAACCAATCAACCTTGTACTAGGGTTGTTGGTTCAGCCAATCATCTTGTTTACTACAGATATCCTACAGGTATTCAATACCCGTAGGATAACAATAGTATATCATGGAGATCTGTT